AAATCGTTCCCAAAGACGTAATTTTCTGGAAAATTACGGCTTTAGGAACGATTTTCCGAGAAAATTTCAATTCCAGCTATCAGAGAGTTCCAGGTTTGAGGGATTCTGGCTAACGGAGATATTACTGTAACTGACTTCCATCATAAACTTTTACAAGTGTTTCATTACAACTAACCCTAAATGCTTAAGTCTACAAAACATTCATATTTGAGAATAATAATGAAAGCTTCTCCCTCACTCCCTTTCAATTCTTTACCTCCTACACATATAATACAGTACATACTGTACTGCACTGTACAGGATGGCCAACATGAAGAACAAACACATCATTCACTGTATTTCATTCATTCATATGGCTTTAATAGATGTTTTCTGTTACATAAGGCCCCAGGTATATATCTGGTTTACCTATCACTTCACACAAATTAGTAAAGTAAAAGTGAGTCCCATAGGCCTGACAGCCTGTTAAGGGTGGGGAGGATACACCGCACTGAATACTATGCCTTCAGTAACCACAGTGTCAGGTATCCATGCACAGCTGGGTGAGCTGGAGGTGCCCGTCACAAACTCTTAAGATAGAACAAGAGTTGTATCAACTTGGTTGTCATACTCATTCAGTATCAGTACTGTGCCTTAACAAATTATATTTTATTGTTTTCCCAGTTTCTGTTACAGTACAGTACAATAAAGTACAGTACAGTACAGTAGAGTACAGTACTGTACTTTTAAAAATTTTTGTCCACAATTTTTTTCAAATGGCCCAAATTTTCTCAGATTAAAACTTCTTTATCAATACAGAAGTACAGTAGAGTCATGATAATTAGCAGGTTAGGTATCAGAAGACATCTTGAATTATCAAATCATGAATTATAGCTTGCCAGTAATTTATTTAAATGGAAATAATTAGTAAGGATCCGGAAGCCCAAAAATACACAAAAATTATGTTAATAAACACTAAATATCGTACTTAATACATAAAAAATGCAGTAACACACAGATATTGTACAAAGTGTAGTTCGAGACAGTATTAAATCAGTATCTCTTTCATTTCTTGTAATCATCCTCAGGGTGACACCAATACATCAAGATAAACAAGGGCGCAGGATAGCTGACTTGTTATGTTTGTGCTATGTAAACAAGGCCCCAAGATCGACAAATGTACGTTTACCCCGAGTGGGGCGTGCAACTGCCAAACCCCTGCGGCTGCGTGTGTTTAATGTGTGTGTCAGCCACACCGAGATTAGGTGGGGTGAACAGGTTTCTCGAGAAACACCAGTACCATTGGTGCCCCACTCACTATTACACCTCCATGTGTAGTGCAGGTGGTTGCACACCCCACCTGGGATACATTACCAGCCTGGGGTCCATGAACAGTACAAGACACCAAGAATTTAATGACATAATAATTCATCTGGAGTTGAGTTGGGATAAGTTTTTCTTCAGAAAATTTATTATTTTAAAATGAGGTTTTATCACCCAAATACCAAATGAACCCAAATAATATGGGAATTATGGTGAAATTGCATACTATCATTTTAACAGGGTCATAGGTGTGATGAAGCCTCCAAGAGTGGAGGGAGGGAATTTTAAGCTCAGTCCAACCACCCACCCACCCACCAACCGCCCTACCTCTCATCTCTCTCACAGAATTCACTTCCCACCCTTAATTTTTTTTATTTTATAGACTTATATTAAATTTTATTTTACTTGTACAGTAAATCACATTGCAGCAGTGAAATTATATTTCCACAACTTTTATGGTTTATGTAAATAAACACCGCAACACCCGGAGCTCGGCAGCGATTTATGAATATCTGCCAGCAAAAAAAAAAAAAAGAGGTATTAATTGAGGTGCAGTACTTACAAATCTAAGAGCGTGAATTGTTATTTTGCAGATTATCACACCTCCACTGTACTGTATTTTCAACCATAGTCAAGTTCCATAACAATTCTCAGTACAGAAAAGCCTTAATAAGAAATATAAAAAGGGGGATTGTATATGAAATTTATAGACGACCCCTCAGACAAATTTCAGTAAGTGACCTTGACCTTTGACACTGTGCCCTCCAAAAAGAGAACGTGGTAATAGTGATGCCCCAAATTCCAAATAAATCCATCCCAAAGTTTGAAAACAAATGTGAGGACGAGTTTAAGGCCGGAAAAACATGTCTACGCACGCACGCACGCACGCACGCACGCACACACACACACACACACACATCCTTGACCACCGAAGGGTCAAGACGTACCTGGCGCTCCTCTCGGAGCAGCCAGGTCAACTGTTAAGTTGGCCCATACCAACCCCCTCCCCTGAACCCTCCTCCTCACCGGAATATCAACAAGTTCTCGCCAGAAGTTACAATTTCATTTATGAAAGGAACGGAACCAGTGTTAAACAGAGGTGAACAGTGGTGAACAGTGCTTAAGTCAGTGAGAACAACTCAACAGTAACAGTCGTACCCAAGTTAACCTTCACACAGTGAGGTCCCAGGTACCCAGTGATAAAGGCCCCCGCGAGACCCAACAACAACCACCGATGTGTTAATCCGTCTACGATAGGAAGACCTGGGACCAAACCTCACTCATATAACACCATCTGTGAGGGAATTACTACACCACGTCAGGCCCCTCATAACACCATCTGTGAGGGAATTACTACACCACGTGATGCCCCTCATAACACCATCTGTGAGGGAGTTACTACACCACGTGAGGCCCTTCATAACACCATCTGAGGGAACTACTACACCACGTGAGTTCCTCCTAACACCATCTGGGAGGGAGTTACTACACTACGAGTTTGCTGTTCAACACCTACATTAATCTGTATGTTCACTGTATGTTCCTTTACCTTTCTCTAATGAAGGCTTTTGTTAAACCACCAATGTATGTAATAAGTCATTTATGTCCAATGTATATTTTCAGCCTTCGGGCTGCAGAATTTTTTCAATAAACCGTTAATTATTATTATTATTATTATTATTACAGGGTATAATAGTTGTACAGTACTAGAGAACTTAATTTCAAAAGGCATGTTACCTTAGTTTAAAAATCATAAGGTTTCTCTTCAGAATTATATATTTGTACAGAATAACTTTTTATACATATTGTATTGTTTTATAATGACATAAACGGTCTGTAATATACATTCATGAAAAGTTACATTAATATGGTATTTTAGATTATATATAAAGTACCTGTACAGGCAGTCCCCACCTTACGACATGATACATTCCTCATCATTGATCGTAAGTCGATTTGTTTGTAAGTCGGAACAGTGTTAATTCCACAGTTTGGATTAAGTTAAAGCACAACCCTGCCAATACAAAACAACAATAATATCCTATTCATAACAAATAATGTAACTACTGTAAATAAAGTGATGTTAAACAATATAGAATAATGAAAATAATAAAAAAAAAATGGAATTTTAATAACAAATTTGGGGGATGAATCTACTGTATTGGGACCCTGTTTGTAAGTGAGGGTGATCGTAAGTTGGATGGTTGTAACTCGAGGACTCATATATATATATATATATATATACTTTTTTAAACTAGCCAATAAATATATCATAAGAAATATACCCTGTAGTTGTAAAACATCTTTAGATAGTACAGTAGTTTCAGTAGTCCAGCAACTAGCAAGACTCTCAATATAAGAAGTAAATTCTCAATACATGACATTGAGAAAATAAAAACACATGGAAATTTGTAACATTTATTTATATATTGTCTTGGTACTCCAAGTTCCCGTAATTACTGTACCACGAGAATTTGTTGTACAGTATCCATATACTGTATGAGGCTTTATGTTTGCTCCTTCATAAAATGTATGGTGACTGGTCAAATGGATGCAACCTTACCTAACCTAACATTAAAGACGTGGGGTCCTAGCCTAGTACACCTTAATTTAAGTACAGTAGGTGAAGTGAGGTTGAATTAGGTTATGATAGGAATAAGTTTATGTTAGAATTAGAGTACGTACTGTAGATAAGTTTAGGCTTGAGTAGTCTAGGTTGGGTGAGATTAGGTTGGCTAGGCCCAGTTAGGTTTGGTGAGGCTAGATTGAAGCATACTGGGATTAGGACTAGACTGACATGTAACCAACTTTGTGTGGTAAATGAGATAGGCTACAGCTTACACTGTTACATTACAATTATATCACAGTATAACATCATCAATATGCTGATCTTTACAACTGGAAAATTACATCACTGTTATATAAACACAGTAAGTGGAAGGTTCACATGTTAAAATTTGTACAATAACTATTTCCTAAATAAATTATGACTATTTTTTTAGGTACTCAAAATAGATACTGTACTGCACAGTACTATTATAAGTGGGGGACTGACCCTGAAATCCCATTTTACAACTGAGTCTGGCTGGGGAGACTCACATACTGCCAGCCACAATACGTATACAGTACAAGTTCAAAATTGAAGATCCTCTATCCAAAATTCTGAAAACCAAAAAGATCCAAAAACCTTTTGTTTTGTAATTTACTGTACCCTACTACAGTAATGTAGAGTACAGTGGTCCCTCATTTTTCGCAGGGGTTATGTTCCTGATATTACTGCAAAAGAGCAACACCGTGAATACTCTTTTCTGGATTTTCACTTATCATGTAATATCCAATATGATAACCTGTAACCTATCCCCAATGACTTGTATGACCCTAAACGTGTTTCTTATGATCTGTAAACCTCTCTCCCTCTCATATATCATCAAATAACATGTAAGGACAACACAATAAAGACAAAAATAAAATTTTTAATTGTTTTATAAATTATGTACAGTCTCGTTCAAGATTCTTCGAACACCGTTGGAGACAGCTGGCAACTCAAGGCCGTTTGTTTATTATAGTAAATAGTAAAAATTATGAATAAATGTAAAAGTGATCGGTGATTGGTTACTTAGTTCCCCGTTGCTTAATTTAATGGTTGGGCTTTGTTTCATATTATATTATACTACGTACTATAGTAAACAAACAGCCTTGAGTTGCCAGCTGTTTCCAACAGTGTTCGAAGAATCTTGAAAGAGACTGTACCTAAAAAATACAACGCATATGGAATACTGTACTGTACTGACCATCCCAATTATGTTGTTCTGTCTCTTGATCCTCCCTCTCAACTTTCCCCCTGGTACATCACAGCAGACGATGAATGAATAATGATGATGGATGATGATTAATCTGAAGTGAACTGATGATTCGTTCATCCCATATGCCCTAGTCAACACTTTTCTTTCTCTTAGGCTTCTTTGGTGCACTATTGCCCTGGTCACCACCTTTAAAAAGACGTTTTGAAGCCATGCTGGGATTTTTAAACACAAAACACATGGGTCACAGCGAGATGTATGCATAGTATGGCGGGTGACGCATATGAGACAGAGTTGAGATGAGAAGCCGTGCTCTGCGGTAGTGCGCCTGGCGGTTTCTTGCAAAGACTTGTTCGCACATGCAATTAAGCAAATGTGAAAATTAATTGTTTAACTTTTCTGCTACTGCTTGTGTTAAATTTATTGCATACTGTATGAAAATTTTTCACAGAAGATGAAAGTTGTTGAAAACATATCACCTTACAAAAATAAAGATATGCATACAGGCTATTGGGAAATAAAAATTATATATTTAATGTTCAGTATTTGATTTGGTTTAGCTGTGGTGAAGAGCTGAAGGTCTCCTTTGTGTTGCCTCGGGCAATCAGTGCAGTGTATAGGAATGAGAGGAGAGAGGGCTGGTGTGGAATAGCAGTAGTTCGTAAACACAGGGAAAGGAGGCACATATTCACTATCACTGAAGATTTACACAACCTTTCTTGGCACTATGTGAAGTGGATAATTCTGGGTCACTAAAAGATGGAGACAAACATACTCCCTCCATGTAAAACTGTGTGTAAAGAGGCATGGAGAGGAGTGCAGGGATGGTGTACTGTAGGGAACCAAGAGGCCTATGGGAAACAGTCTATAAACGTGTCACTTGGCACAAAACTTTTAAAATTGATGCCAAAATCTTGGCAGCCTGCTGGCATGTAGCAGCTATGGAGTTAAGAGAATAGACATTCAAACCAACAACAACTGTGCGTGGTGGTGTCAGTGAGTGAGAGAATGTAATTAGCAAAAACTACTCACTGTTTTATCTACAGTTCTAAGAAAGTACTGTAAATCAAACTAAACGTTTTCACCACCTGCAAGTCAATCCCCGATTCCACCTTCTGTTCCAATTACATTACTCTCCTCATCCTTTTGCAGTACTGTACCACTTCTCATATCATTAAACCTATCCGTTGCAGCCACATTTCAGGGCAAAGAATAAAACAAACGTTGTGTTATTATGAGTTTGTTGAGAACAGCATCACGGGGATATTCACAGTCACTGTTCTTGCAGTCCCACCATGCGGGTCCAGAAATACCCCGCAGTAACTATGGAAACCCATGAATACTTAAATCTGGATACTGTACTGTACTGTGATTCTGTGGTTGGTAAAACAGTGCACAATTATAAAGTGTGGATATTAAAAAATTTGGATGGTAAACCTGCAGTTGGTGAGGGATCACTGTATACAATATTGTTAGTTCCAGTCAAAGTGGTCGAAGGAACTGGGTTTTTAACCTGTAGACTTTGGCTGGTAGTGAGTCACCTGAACCAGGTGTTATGCAATGTAGGAGAAAACAAAATAACTTTTTATATGCAATATTTATCAAAAGAAATCCATAAATAAAAACAAAATTAGCATAGGAATGAATCAGTTTAGAAAATATAAAATTTCCTTGATTCCTCCAACTTTAGTACTGTTAACATAGGAATGATTCATTTTACAAAACAAAAGTTTCCTTGATTCCTTTAACTTCAGTATTTTACATGGAATATTCTCATGAATTTCTACTTTCTTACATTTTGCTGAAAACAAAAAAGAAAGTAATATTTGAAATTTTCATAAACTAAAGGATTCTCTTTAGTTTTATGTAGCTGGTACAATTATCAATGTATAATTGTATTAATAATTGACAAAAATAATCGAACAAATTAATGTTCTTTCAAAATTTAACTCCTAAAAACTAAATATGGTGGACAACTTTTCTTGGTCCATTACAAAACACAAAAGTTTTCGATCTCTGAATTGAACTGTCAGCCTCCAACGCACTAATAGTAACAATAACCCCTCATTTAGACAATCTTTGGCTTCTGTCACACACCACAATTATTTCATCAATACTGTACTGTTGTGGCAAGGCTCCAAATATATCTTTCAACAACTTATTATAATAAATCTTAGGTGTTCATGCACCAAAAAAAAATAATACCACTTGATGGCAATAGCTAATGATAATACTGTATGTTTTAAGTAGCAAATGTGGCACTTTATTGATGGTCCAAAGCAGTTATCAGTGCCTGACAGTGTCGCCTCTTGATGTGCTCATTAAGGTGAGACTTCTGTGAGGCGCGGTACATACATTGAGGGCAGGTGTACGGCTTCTCACCAGTGTGGGATCTCACATGACGGCTCAAGTCGCTGCGGTACATGAAGGCCCGCCGGCAGAACGGACACAAGAGTGCCGTCACTGCCACAGCAGCAGCCGCCGAACCTCTCAATGACTCCTACGGGAGGAAAGAGCCATTGTTACCAATAGCGTCACAGCCATCTCTGTGGGATCCACACACACACACAACACACCCCACTTGGAATAATACGATTTGGCAACGTTTTGTTCCTTTTTAATAATGAAGTATACAAGTGTGCCGAAGTTAGGAGACAAAAAAGTTGAATACTGTATGTCTGATAGAGAAATATTTCCTACCCTGGTTGATGGTGAGAAAAAAATCATAATTGCATGTGAAAACCATTTTCCTTTTAAATTTACAATATATCCCCACCTTTAAGTTATTCACTCGTTGATATCAACTTGGCATTACATGTCTATCAAGACAAGCTTGAAACGCAATAAGAAATTAGCCAACTAGACTTATTCTTGTGTAGGACACACCATAATGGTAGCAACTCACTACTGTACTAGCAGCTGAGTCACACCATGTTTTTTTTTTGTTTTTTTTACGGGAATTAGCCCACCCGGGCACAGGTCAAATGACCCACAACGGAGCCTGGGGGGCAAAAAAAAAAAACGGAAAGAAATTGTAGCAACTCACTCCTAGCAGCTGAGTCACAACCATAATGGTAGCAACTCACTACTAGCAGCTGAGTCACACCATAATGGTAGCAACTCACTACTAGCAGCTGAGTCACACCATAATGGTAGCAACTCACTACTGTACTAACAGTTGAGTCACACCATAATGGTAGCAACTCACTACTAGCAGCTGTCACACTATAATGATAGCAACTCACTACTAGCAGCTGAGTCACACTATAATGGTAGCAACTCACTACTAGCAGCTAAGTCACACTATAATGATAGCAACTCACTACTAGCAGCTAAGTCACACTATAATGATAGCAACTCACTACTAGCAGCTAAGTCACACTATAATGATAGCAACTCACTACTAGCAGCTAAGTCACACTATAATGATAGCAACTCACTACTAGCAGCTAAGTCACACTATAATGATAGCAACTCACTACTAGCAGCTGAGTCACCATAATGGTAGCAACTCACTAATCAATACAATACTGTATAGTACAGTACACTGTTTTTGTTATTTAAGATAACATTAATACAATTTTCTTCTGTACATAACCACCCTTCGCTTCCCTCACCACCCTGGACTTTATCACCGCGTTCACCACCAGCATCATCAAGTTCACCACCATAATGGTGTCAAGGAATAGTCTGAGAAGACCGAACAACTCGCCAACAGCACTGGCTAACCATTATCCTGGAACACGATCCGCAAATTGATTAACATCCAGGTTCCCAATTACTGCTGGGTAGACAGAGGCAAATGGCATAAAGAAACTTGCCCATAGTTTTACCCTGCCCGGGGATTGAACCCCGGTCTGCTCGCTTGCGAGGCTAGCATGCTGACCATTACACCACAGGTCGCACCATGTTCACCAACAGTAAGAACACATTCACCACCAGCTTCACCACGACTATAACCACTTTCACTGTCTCTATCACCACCTTCATCACCAGTCTCACCATGCATATAAAAGTGCATCTTTTTCCCAGATGAATCTAGAGTCAAGTGGTATGCAGCGGTGGTTCAAATCCTCTATCCAAACCTTCAGCGCTTTCTCCATTTTAATAAGTGCCGGATCTCTCGCATGTTGTGTCACCTTTGTTGTTGCTGGCACACTAGCAGTGACCTCATCAACACCTTTCTCTCATATCCCCGAGCATATGCTGCATAACTCATACCACTCTCAATTATTTTTTTTATTATTTCAACTTTCTCGACTAAAGTCAACACTTTTCTTTCTCTCCAAGACTTCTTTGGTTCGTTACTGCCCTTGTCACCACCCTCAAAAAAAACGATTTGGAGCCATGATGGGATTTTTAAACACAAAACACGGGTCACAGCAAGATGTACACACAGTATGGCATGTGGGGCGAGAAAGAGAGTTGAGGCGGGAAGCTGCTCTGTGGTAGTGACGCCTAGCGTGCACAATTCAACTGCATACGAAATTAGTAATACCTGTTGCTATGAAAATATATTTCTAATGAAAATCCATGAATAGCCAAAGCTGCAAAAAATTTAAATAAAAATCGCTATAAATGTGGGTGTGTACTGTACTGTGAGTATATTAAGTATGAAAAATCCACATCCCCCAATATATAAGGTCTACATTTATGACTACAATGCTTGTTCCCTTGTTAAGTGCCAGTTTCTTGAATATTACAGATTGCTGCTGGAGAATTATTAAAGTTTTACAGAAAAGATCAGTAGAAGATTTAAGGACTTTGTCTATTAGTAAATGAGTGATGGGAAGAGGTCACTAAAATATAACAACCCACCAAGTGCCATAAAGTTGTTTGAAGGTAAAGCTACAGGGTATTTGATACATCTACACAAGGAACTTAATAAAATCTCAACATTCATTTTAAAAAGATTTACTTGTGCCATCTATGTAAACCACATAAGGGAACAGCTTAACAGGTTGCTCCTCATTGTATAATACTGTACCACAGATGAACAC